AGAGCAGATGACACACTAACTTGTGGTCACTCACTCTCTCCCGTTAGGGGTATGATTGAAATACAGTACGTATGGGAGAAATACATATCTTGTAGTCTAATTTGAAAACAAATTATATAAACTACTGTATTTATATACCTACAATAACATAATAAGAAACATTGTATCATTAATAGAGTGAATGAAATAATATTCCCACAAACAACAATTGACAACTCTGTTTATGTTTCCCACCTCGGGTACCTGTGTCCCATGCACTGACATCTTAGTTACATGGGCCTAGGATGATCTTTGCTCTGTTTTTGTGGAATGCTTCTTAGGGAGGCTTATTAGCTCCCGGGACCACCAAATTTTGTCCGAATCTTCCGAAATCCAGATTTTCTGGGTCCAAATCTTTGAGGGTTCATTATACTCCCAGTTCAATTCTTGATTTCTCCAAGAAATTATTATTTCATGTATTTGTGGACTTAATATGAATTTGTTAGCAAAAGATTCAGCTTTCTAATGGTGCAAAATATTTTAATATCTCAGTTAGGGTACGTTCTACATGTATTTAAACAACATTATCTTACACGATTTGCAGCACATATAAATATACCCACCCTTTAAGGGTTAAGGTAACCTCTTAAATCTACCATATGAATATAAATGCTGTACCAATACTGTATCTTGAAGATAAAGAATAATTATGGTGAAGTGAGTACAATACCAATAAATGATTCAGTGTTTTATTACACCATTATGGGTTACAGACACTGTGGGTATGGATGCTTCATTGGGCTCCTGAACTTCAATACCATCCAACCCAGGATAGTAATTTTTTTTTAATTTGCTCCCCAACTTCTATTTTATTGTGCAATAAAAGGTGCAGCTTCTGACTGTGCAAATAAGGTATATTCTAATCCTACTTGAACTGGTTGCTAATATAAGTTTTGTTTTTGCAGTTTGGTTGACACAGAGGGAGTGGAAAGAGAGTTTGACTGTTAATAGTGCTGACAATGACGAAGCTGAGGATGAAGAAGAACTAGACACCACACTCATTAACAACTCCTTCACCATCAACAGTAGTGCCACAGTCATCAGTAGTAATTATTCCATAGTCGGTAATGATACTGCCACCCCAGCCCCCATAAGTAACATCCTTACCAACCATGTCTGAAATCATTGTACAAACTTGATTAATATGATGCTTATTGTAAGATATTCTGATTTTAATTTATTGCAAGTTTTCCCTCCAATTAGAAAAAGTGAGTTGAAATAGTATTCAAGGAAAAATTACATGCTGTATATGGCAGTGGTACTGTTATGAAGTGAGAATAAATCAATATTGAGTAGTCACTGCAGAAACTGTCCACATGCCCTAGTTAAGGAAGTGCTCTGAGTAGATACATAACAGGAAGTACAGTAGTGTTAACCATGATTTATTAATAATTTTATAGATTGGGTATTATTTTTAAATATTTCATATTTTCATCTTAACTGCATCAGAATTAATCATTAGTACAATTAATTCCTCTTTCTAAACACACTCCTTTCTTAACACAACCATCCCCAAAATTTAGGATGAGTTATTGTTAGGTTTTTAACACTAGATTTAAGATATACTATGCTCCCACAATGGGTTCCCATATTCCTTTTGGTTACTGAACTGTAAAGTAATTTGGTGAAGCATATTGCTCTTTTAGTAGCTGTAGGGTGATAGTTTACTCAGGAAATCATCATAATTGCACAAATTTTATGAGATGAAAAGTTTTGAATATTTTGGGCAAGAAACTATCATGCATCTAAACAGGTAGAGAATTTTCCTGTACTGTAGTGTGTTACCTATAGTTTGGGTGATATATGAAAATGATAATTTTTCCCAACATATATTTTAGATGATACTCCTACTGATAATGTGTTTTTATTGGCTGTGCCTTGGGCATAGCAGGAAATAAACTTGATATCTATAGCCAAAAGACCATTAATAGAGCAGCCATAGAGAACATATACTGTACATATGTTGTGGCAACCTTTAATTCATCACTTATCAGGTAAGAGTTTATTGGTTGTTTTAGCTTCCTTTTGGCTCCGGTAACTCTGATTATATATTTTATACTGTATAGAGTAAAAACTCCATAATTCGTACCCCTCTACAGTAATTGGAAATCATTCATAATCTGTAAATTTTTGCTGTTACAAAATATATATTACAAATTTCATAATATTTGGTAAAATTTTGAAATATTACAATATACAGTACTGTATGTTGTATACAGTATTAAAAATTTGGTAATACAGTATGTATTTGGTAAAATTGCAGATTATGAGAGACTAATGAATATATACTATAACGCACAAGTCGTCATGGGAAGCAACCGTCCGCTTCAGTGTAAACAAGTACTATATGTGCCATGCGTGTTGGTAACGGTCAGTTCACATTGGTGAGTCATGGAGTGTAAATCTACGGTCTACTATGCAAGCATTTTTCTACTTGTTATTCCATTATTGCCGAGTGTTGAGCTATTATATCTGATAACCAGGGACCAAGCAACGAAATCTGGTACAAAGGTACTGTACTTATAAATGTTTAAATTTTGATTGGGGCACATAATGGGAAAAATACTGTTTTTTTTTTTTTTTTTTTTTCCCAGGAGGTGTCCCTCAAATTTTTTTAAATCTCATAATATGTAATGGGTAGAGCACATATTACTGTAATTCGAATTATGGGGTTTTTACTGTATTATGTCCTGAAAGTGAAAGAAGTGTATAAACTATTCTAAGTTCATGTCTTAGGATTTTCCACATGTAGAAATTCCCTACAGTTTGAGGACTGCACAGATTTCCCAGTAAGTACCAAACATAATTTATTTTCTATACAGCCAAAAAATATTTTCCCCAACATAATGTACAATTTTAGATAACTTAATTTTCTACATAGCCCATCTATAGAGTGCAGGCCTGATCAAAGCAATCTTTAGATCTAGAGTTTTGTTTTCCAAGAGTTACTGGTGAATATGTGAAAACTGTAGTCCACTGAAGGAGTAATATCTGGTTGAATCAACGTGACATTGAGCAACTGTAGCATTACAAAAATTGCAATATCTATCAAGTTACTTTTGTGACCGGAGATAATGCTCAAGCATTTCACCAAGTTCCAGTATTTGAGTGGCAAGAAGATATCTTGACTATATCTCTTTCTTTAGCTTCACATAGAGCTCCTTGCTCATAGATACAGTACCTTCATAAGTCTTGCCATATAGTTAGCAATTACGTCAAGTGCATTTGGAATATGAAGATCAATAGTATTGAGAAAGTTCTGCAAAGTGTGGGACCAGTGGTTCCCACACTGGGGGAGGGGGGGGGGTGTGAAGCCATGTGAAAACATATATATTATATTGACTTTTTTTTTCTCGATTTTTTTCAATAAAATTGTGACATTAATTTTTTCTTAATCCAGTACTGTACGAGGTCTGATCGAAAAGTATCCGACCTTTAGCCGGTGAAAAAAAACAAGCTTACTGACTGAGTTCAGACTTTAATCCCCTTCAAAGTAGGCCCCTTGGGACTCAACACACTTTGGCCAGCGGTCCTTCCATTGCTGGAAACATTTTGTAAAGTCATTTTTTGGGATCGCCAACATGATCTTTGTCGCAAATTTCTTTATCTCATTTGTGTCCTCAAATCTCGAACCCTTCAGCGGCATCTTAATATTAGAAAACAGCCAAAAGTCACAGGGAGCCATGTCAGAAGAGTAGGGAGCCTGCCGGACCTGTGTGATCTTGTGTTTGGCCAAAAAATCCTGGACAAGGTGAGAACTCCACACCCACCTGGAACTGTTCACAGACCCTATAGAAGAATAATGACAAAAGAGAACAACTATATCAAACACTTTGAGGTTGGTCCCTCTCGCTGCCGGACTATTCACCATATGACTGTGAGCGTCAGTCTCCAGTAATGTTGTATCTGAGTTATCAAGACACGTGTGTAAGGATTCTGTGTGTCACTCTACACACTATCATACCTGTCACACAAATGGATCACTCCTTATGTCATTAATACGCTAAAAGTTATTAGCACAGGTGATAAAAAAATTATATCTGTTCTCATAACATTTGTTGTCTAATATATAAACTAACTGAATGTTCATGCTTTACCTTAGATGATGAAGTACATTATAACAAGAACAACCAATACGTTTAAAAACATTATTAAATCATACTTCTTGTAACAGAGGATAAAATAAATTGCTGCTGGCCGGCGCTAAGGTCACTTGAGCATGAATAATTAATGTGTAGAACCTGATGGCAGCAACATCAACAATCACATGTGAGTTAACGAACTGTTTGACCCAGTGTTAAAGAATTATTACTGGGTAGACAGAGGCAAATGGTGTACAAATCTTGCCTATTGTTTTAATCTGTTTGAGGATCGAACTTGGGGTCACTCATTTGGAAGGCGAGTACGGTGACCCTTACACCATAGGTCGCCGAAGATAGCAATTCATATAAACCTAAAGACAGCACCTTGTTTAACTCCATTGCCAAGTACAAGGGAGTGTGGCATTACATTATTTCCTCTAATTGAATTGTTACATCAAGTACGGACACTTGAAAAAAAAATTTTATGTCTGAAAAATTTGGTGCGTCCAGCTTCATCATACACTGCCGATACTTAAAAACAAAACTTAAGAACAGAGCTGCCTTGTGAGCTGTAACACTGAATGGTTCCTTACCCAAGACACTACAATGAGGTACAGGAGCCACTACAGGGTTGTCAAGTTCTTAAAGGGGGCTCGCTGGCTTCTGTGAGCAATAAATTTACAAAGCTACATTTTACTTGGGTGGTTTTTCTTTTTTATTGTTGTAATTGTCATATGAAAGATAATAAAAACTAGTAAGGTCTCACATACTTACGTATTTAGACTATCAAAAATATTATCCTAAGCGACGATTCTTTCTTTTTATTTTTCCTTGAGGATATGCGTAACGTTTTAGAATTCCTTTCACCGCGAATAAAAAATTTTACCACTCGCTCAATGCAGATAGATGAGTCGAGAGATCTGCTTGTGAGTAATTAGAAAGTCGAAAGTTTTTAATTCAATCTGAGAAAATGAAGAAATGTACAGTGACTTTTTTTTATTAATTTAGTATAATGGTTTTACAGCTATCTGTAGACACCAGTGATTTTCTCACGATTTGGAGAATTTTAACCAATATAAAGCAGTTAATCACAAACGATAACAGACCTGGGAAGATAAATCCGGAGACACACAGATAAATGCGTGTACAGAGTGGTGTCTTAGGTTAACAGAATTTTGCTTAAAGAGGTTACCAGAGCTTCCACTTTTCAGTCTCCTATTAAACTTCTCCAATGCGGTAGGTGTGATGGACTGTAAACGTTTAACAAGTGGAACGAAGAGTAAAGCCTTCCCTGGCACCTGTTTTAAGTTCAGCTTCCACTTTACAAGTCTCTCTCTCTCTCTCAGGATAGGAATTATATTGGACTTCCGCTGTTCACATTTTGATGATAATTTGGTAGATGGATGAGTTTGATGGGTAAATGGGTTGTGTTGGCTGAGAGAGAGAGAGAGAGAGTCAGTCGAGGAATGACTGAATAATATAATGGAATATGAGTTGAAAGGACAAGTGGGTGGATGAACTGGATGAGTGAATAGGTGGATGAACTCTGGGTGGATTGGAAGGTAGGTCAATAGGACGGGTGAGTCATTAAGTGGATTGGTGAGTGAGTTGCGTGGGAGCCAGTCACTGATATTTCACCGAGAGACATTCTGATAACTGGATCCAGTTGTCCTCGTAAATAATTAATGAAGACACTCAAGTATGGAAATCCTCTACAAAATTATAATTGATATTATTTTAAAGCGGAAGTCGCAAGTATCAGAGTCCCTCACAGCCGACCTAAGGACACGTCATTGCTGCCTCAACGACCTCTTGCTGGGTCACAGGATAAAGGGTCACGTGATGGGAAACGTTATTCTGAAGTCGGGATTGAGTTGCAACAAGGCTGATACTCTCTCCTGTCGAAGGGGAGGTCGTGGCAGGTCAACACAGGATTGGAGTCAATCGAGATTACTCAAATCAATCACTATGGCTGTTCTACCGGGTCAGTGTATGTCAGGTCATCACTGTAACCTGATTACCTGACTATATCCGGGATTACCTTTACCTGTTGTATCATCTCAGGTTAAGAGAGACAAGGGAAATAAAGTTGACTTTTGCAATTGCCTCGTATATCCTCATCATATCGGGCATGGACAATTCCTAGCACCCGAAACTAGCATGGGAAGGTGCCACTCGGTAACTTCAATGATCATACACCTCCACCTATGTTTGTGTATAATGATCATATTCCACCTATGTTTAGGTATAATGATCATATACACCTCCACCTATGTTTGTGTATAATGACTAAGGTTACCATCTATGTTTGTGTATAATGATCATATACACCTCCACCTATGTTTGTGCATAATGATCATACACTCACCTATGTTTGTGTATAATGATCATACACTCACCTATGTTTCAGTATAATGATCACACACCTCCACCTATGTTTGTGTATAATGATCATACACCTCCACCTATGTTTGTGTGTATAATGATCACACACACCACCTCCACCTATGTTTGTGTATAATGATCACACACTTCCACCTATGTGTGTATAATGATCATATACACCTCCACCTATGTTTGTACGTATATAATGATCACACACTTCCACCTATGTTTGTGTATAATGATCACACACTTCCACCTATGTGTGTGTGTATAATGATCATGGCCACTTCCACCTATGTTTGTATAATGACTACATACTTCCACCTATGTGTGTGCATAATGATCATATACACCTCCACCTTATGTTTGTGCATAATGATCACAGCCCACCTATGTTTGTGTATAATGATCACACACTTCCACCTATGTGTGTGTATAATGACTATACACTTCCACCTATGTTTGTGTATAATGACTACACACCTATGTTTGTGCATAATGATCACACACTTCCACCTATGTGTGTGTAGTAATGATCATATATACCTCCACCTATGTTTGTGTATAATGATCACACACTTTTCACCTATGTTTGTGCATAATGATCATATACACCTCCACCTATGTTTGTGTATAATGATCATACAATCACCTATGTTTAGGTATAATGATCAAGTATACACCTCCACCTATGTTTGTGTATAATGATCATACACCTCCACCTATGTTTGTATAATGATCATACACCTCCACCTATGTTTGTGTATAATGATCACACACTCACTCTATGTTTGTGTATAATGATCATACACCTCCACCTATGCTTGTGTATAAATGATCACACACCACTCTCCACTCTAAGGCCGTGTATATAATGATCACACCACCTCCACCTATGTTTGTGCATGTTTTATCACACTACCTATGTTTGTGTATATATAATGATCACACACCTCCACCTATGTTTGTGTATAATGACCACATATCTCCACCAATAAGTTTGTGCATAATGATCACACAATTACCTCCACCTTATGTTTGTGTGTATAATTATCACACACCACCTATGTTTGTGTATAATGATCACACACCACCTATGCTTTGTGTATAATGATCACATACCACCTATGTTTGTGTATAATGATGACACACCTCCACTTATGTTTGTGTATAATGATCACACACCACCACCTATGGGGTATAATGATGACACACTCCACCTATATGTTTTGTGTATAATGATCACACACCACCTCCACCTATGTTTGTGTGTATATAAGATTACACACCACCCAAGTTTGTGTATAATGAGATCACACACTCCACCTATGTTTGTGTATAATGATCATACACCACCAACAACAAGCCTGTGTATAATGATCACACACCACCTCCACCTATGTTTGTGTATAAGTATCACACACCACCTTATGTTTGTGTATAATGATCACACACCACCTATGTTTGTGTATAATGATCACATACCACCTATGTTTGTAGTATAATGATGACACCTCCACTTATGTTTGTGTATAATGCATCACACACTTCCACCTATGTTTGTGTATAATGGATCACACACTTCCTACCTATGTGTGTGTATAATGATCACACACTTCCACCTATGTTTGTGTATAATGATCACACACTTCCACCTATGTTTTGTGTATAATGACTGCACACCTCCACCTATGTTTGTGTATAATGATCATACACTCCACCAATGCTTGTGTATAATGATCACACACCACCTCCACCTATGTTTGTGTATAAGTATCACACACCACCTATGTTTGTGTATAATGATCACATACCACCTATGTTTGTGTATAATGATGACACACTCCACTTTATGTTTGTGTATAATGATCACACACTTCCACCTATGTTTGTGTATAATGATCACATTCTCCACCTATGTTTGACAATGATCACACACATTGATTTCCACCTATGTGTGTGTATAATGATCACATCTCACCTTATGTTTGTGTATAATGACTACACACTTCCACCTTATGTTTGTGTATAATGATCACACACTTCCACCTATGTGTAGTATAATGATCATATACACTCCACCTATGTTTGTGTATAATGATCACACACTTCCACCTTTGTTTGTGCATAATGATCACACACTTCCACCTATGTGTGTATAATGATCACACACTTCCACCTATGTTTGTGTATACGATCACACACTTCCACCTATGTGTGTGTGTGTATAATGACTATATACACCTCCACCTATGTTTGTGCATAATGATCACACACTCCACCTATGTTTGTGTATAATGATCACACACTTCCACCTATGTGTGTGTATATAATGATCATATACACCTCCACCTATGTTTGTGCATAATGATCACACACACTTCCACCTATGTTTGTGTATACGATCACACACTTCCACCTATGTGTGTGTATAATGACTACACTCCACCTAAAAGTTTGTGTATAATGACTGCCACACACTTCCACCTATGTTTGTGTATAATGATCACACACCTCCACCTTATGCTTGTGTATATAATGATCACACACCTCTCCACCTATGTGTGTGTTAATGATCACATTAATTTCCACCTATGTTTGTGTATAATGATCACACACTTCCACCTATGTGTGTGTATAATGATCATATACACCTCCACCTATGTTTGTGTATAATGATCACACACTTCCACCTATGTTTGTGTATAATGATCACACACCTCCACCTATGTGTGTGTATAATGATCATATACACCCTCCACTATGTTTGTGTATAATGATCACAACACTTCCACCTATGTTTGTGTATAATGATCACACACTTCCACCTATGTGTGTGTATAATGATCATATACACCTCCACCTATGTTTGTGTATAATGATCACACACTTCCACCTATGTTTGTGTATAATGATCACACACTTCCACCTATGTTTGTGTATAATGATCACACACTTCCACCTATGTTTGTGTATAATGATCACACACTTTCACCTATGTTTGTGTATAATGATCACACACCCATGCTTTTTGTTCATGTATGTCTACAGTTTCTCTTAAATTATTATCAATACAGTTATGACAGGTTGTATTTCCTGTACAGTTGCTAAAACAACTATTTGTGTAGGTGGGGGTCGATATGCTCCGAAATTTTACGTGTGACTAGTGACAGCCCTCATATACCCAAATTTATCGTCCATGGTCTCATATTGTTTCCCATAAAGTATGCAGTTGTTTTAGCTACTGTTATATTTCTGGTATGGTGTGAACCTGTTGAGTATGGTACCCCTGGTCGGGTCCTCCACTACCACCACTCTCACCACCACTAAAAATAAATATAATGGTTGCCCCTCGTGTAACGAGGATGGCGGGTCCAAGGGCCTCCCAGGCGTGAATTTGTTTAAGGTGTAGAAGCTGTCGCCAACACAACATACCTAAGTTAACGAGTTGCATGACCCAGCGTTAAGGAATAGTCCGAGAAGACCGGACAACT